AAGCCAAAATAATGCACCATATTAAAAATTTACAGATAATGGTAATGTATTAGCACTGGGATTGTGAGTTCTTGTTAGACTTCAGCACCCATGTATTAATATTTTTTATTAGTGCAGAAGGTTTTTAAGAATAATATCAGATCTCTCCCTCTCGTACACAGACAAATTGATCAAATATTTATTCACTGAGCAAGCAATAGATGTGCATCCAATATAACCAGCCAGGTTTTTTTAGCATGATATTCAGTGTGTATGAAATACATCAGTGTTGATTGTTTCACATTAGCATTAAACCCAAATGATAAAGATGATGCAGTGCGAATGTTAAAAGGATAGCAGATTTAAAGTGGGCTAGAGAAATCAATATTCAGCTCTCACAGTAGACCTGACCTAACTCTCTCATCTCTTTGCATGCAAGGTCAAATGATGTAGACTTGAAGTCTGGTTGTACTATAAATATCTGAATCAAAAGTCCTTTTCCCAGGAACTTGCAGATGAGGATTCTTAGGACAGACTTACACTGAAAACTCATCACTAAATTTCATTTTCTCAAAAAAAAATCAGGATAACTGCTTCTTGGAGAGGGTCAAGCAAGGTAATTTTAGATTATGGATGTAATGATCCCACAGGGATAGTAGGTCTGTAGATGGTACTAGTGGATGACTTCATAATATGGTTGGCTGGCCCTACTCTTGCTGAATGGGATTTTGCCCCTATGGCCTCACTAGGAAGAATATAATAATCACTGTTTGTTAGCAGTCCTTGGCTTCCTCACATAGAAAGGGAAGAAGTCTGGAGCATCTGTTGTCATTAATGCCCTAAGCCAGGGGTCCTCAAACTAAGGCCTGAGGGCTGGATACGGCCTTCCAAGGTCATTACCCGGCCCTTGCTCAGGGTCAACCCAAGTCTGAAACAACTTGAAAGCACATCACAATAACAATCCTATCTCATCAGCCAAAACCAGGCCCACATTTCCCACTGAAATAATAAGTTCTTTAAATTGTTCATTTTAATTTTTGTATTGTTTTTAAGTGGGTTTTTTTGCACTACAAATAAGATACATGCAGTGTGCATAGGAATTAATTCATGTTTTTTTTTTCAAATTATAATCTGGCCCTCCAACAGTTTGAGGGTCTGTGACCTGTCCCTCTGTTTAAAAAGTTTGAGGATCCCTGCCCTAAACAGTCTCAATGCATCATTTGTGTGTATCGGTTATCTATATTATTTCATTATACTATCACTGCTAAGTTGTGTTTTCAAATGTCTCATTGCTATGCAAATTAGTATACAGTAAGAAATCAAAGGTCCAGTTTTACCAGCCATTGAAAGATGATCTTGAACATCCAGGAAAGTCAAACCGTATTTAAAGTTATCTTCAGTAAAGTGTACAGAGAGAACATTCTTTAAATTGACAAAGACACAAGAAGAAATTCAAGATTGAATATTTAAGGAAAATTAGTGTGAGGCATTACTGTGCAGACTTTAAAGTGCCTCCGTACTTTACCATCTTATATATATATATTAAAACCTAAAGCAACCAAGAGATTGGAAAATAAATTTGGAAGTACTACTGGCACCAAGATGGATGGATGTTATCCTTGAAGCAACTGGCTTGACCTTGAAGGAGCTGGGGGTGGTGACGGCCGACAGGGAGCTCTGGCGTGGGCTGATCCATGGGGTTACAAAGAGTCAAAAGCGACTGAATGAATGAACAACAACAAACTCACACAAATGGATTCTAGTTTTCTGTCATTAAAAGAAGAGGTTCCCAAAAGGTTCAAAACTATGAGAATTCTTCAACACCATATAAAATCAGATACAGCTTGCACAGATAGATATATAGAAACTTTATTTTATCTTGCGGGTAGCAGAGTGTGTCAAAAGCTTCCACGGAGTTCCATGGTGTTCTCAAGAAACACAGAAGTACAGGTATTCCTACTAAGAAAGTTAGTGTCATTTTAATCAATAGGTTGGTTAAGTTAAATAGGGAAGAATGTCTATTTTGGTTTTCCTTCTTATCTGCCTCATATGCAAGGAAAAAAGGAACAATGTGATTCAAATGTATTGCACTAGATGAGATACTTAAAAGATCTGAAGCAGTTTCACACTTTTCAAATGGCAAAGTCAGAAGACAGATTTTGCCTTTAAAAAATTCATTTCCAATTGACACTTCAGCAGGTTTGTTCCCATGTAGTTAAAGAACACAAAGAATATCTAACGATCACGATGACATGGCATCATGCAGCATCTGAAAGAGTCAAATGAAGGATGTATAAAAATCCAGACAGCCTTTTTCAGCCCTAAGCCTTCTTTACTTTCAGTAGGAATGCAACCAGTTTAAGGACCATAATCTGGAAAGCAGGAATTGCAAAAGTTGTATTTGACTTGTGCTATATTTCATGCAAATAGCAGAAATAGACTTTACAGAAATGTATAACACTATAAGGATTTTGAATTCTGTGACTTATCTTTTCATATACTTCTCAGCTGAAGTTAAAATGGGAATCACAGAATCAAAGAGTTGGAAGAGACCTCACGGGCCATCCAGTCCAACCCCTAGACAGCTTTGGGTTTTTTGCCCATTTTAATTTCAGAAGGGTCCCCAGGTGGCACAATGGGCCAAACCACTGAGCTGTTGAGCTTGCTGACTGAAGGGTTGGCAGTTCAAATCTGGGCAAAGGGGTGAGCTCCTGCTGTTAGGCCCAGCTTCTGCCAATTAGGAATTCCAAAACATGCAATTCAAAAACACACTGCTCCGGTGGGATGGTGACAGTGCTCCATGCTGCCATGCTGGCCATATGACCTTGGAAGTGTCTACGGACAACACTGGATATTCAGCATAAAAATGGAGATGAGCCAGATAAGTGTTAGTACATAAGGACCCAAAGATGTTTTTCACATCTTTCATATTCATCATTGTGTGGAAATGGGCAGACCGAGAATATGGATTAAGGCAAGGTAAAGGTTGTCCCCTGACATTAAGTCCAGTCATGTCCAACTCTAGGGGTTGGTGCTCATCTCCATTTCTAAGCTGAAGAGTAGGTGTTGTCCGTAGATACCTCCAAGGTCATGTGGCTGGCATGACTGCATGGAGCGCCATTTCTAATATGGATTAGAAATCGTTTAATTTCTTTACATGTCCTTTCCAGTCGGATTGTATGAAGTTGTCCTAGACTATTGCAAAGTTCATTGGCATTTAGAATACAGTAAATTAAGACAGGAAAAGTGTGGTCTACAAGATACATGGAGGGCTCACAAGTTTCAGTTCTAAGAAAGCCTCCTCAATATTTGCCTGTAAAAAGATCAGACTTTTTAGTTTAGGATCTGGTTTGATTCATCACTTAGCTCAGGATGAGTATGCAAGTAGGTAGTTTAAGATCAATTCTAAGAAAGCCTCCTCAATATTTGCCTGTAACTATGCTGGAAGCTGGCCTGAGACCCCATGGGGAAATAAGGTGGGATACAAATGAAGTTTTATTATTATTATAAAGTTTTTGTTGCTACCATATTGTTCTTGTTGACCCTACTTTTCCACTTACGGAGATAGTTTACTGTTTTTCTTTGAAATAGGGTAAATATTCAAAAACATTTAACCTACTGATGCTTTAATTAATGTAATTTTATTGGTATCTATTTTTATTTTGAAATTTACCAGTAGCTGCTGCATTTCCCACCCTCGGCTTATATTCGAAGCAATACATTTTCACAGTTTTTTTGTGGTGAAATTACGTGCCTCAGCTTATATTTGGATCGGCTTATGCTTGAGTGTATAGGTGTATGGCAATCTCAAAGAAACACCTAGACTATATTTAATTTTCTGATTTGCGGTTTTACTGCTGGCCATTGTTGTTGTTTTTAAACGAAGCAGCAAGGATTAGGTTATTGACTGACCCATATTACTCAGCCCTCTCAAATGTGTTTAGCTATTTGGGATAATCCTCAGATTCTGTTTAAACAAGATAGTAGATTTATAACACTAATACCTATATGAGATTTCACATTCAGCAACAACATGCTTAATCGGGTACTGGCACCTATGTATGGCACCCCAACATGAGCCTACATATCCATGCTGTTGTTCTAGTGCCAAACAAATTCTAGGAGAGGGCCGAAGCTGAAAACCTGAAACCATATTGAACTGTGTTACTAATTTCTGCTTTTCAGTTTCTCAAAAAGTAGAGCGTTGGTTGTCAGATAATAAGGATGTTTGCTGCACTGCGATGTCAAAAAAACCCTGCATGCCTACGACTTGGTTCAGCAGCAGTTTGCCAATAATGTTGTTTTGTTTTGCCAGCACTGTATATATAAACACACAGTCATTCCCAGCATGGTAGATATGATCCTGGGGCTCAATATTCTGGCAGCCCTCCCCCCACAACACATTGAACTAAGCTACTGCATTCACAGAGCTATGCCATCCAGCTGCCTGTCACTCCTGCCCTCATTAGAGCAGGAAAGACTACTTTCTACCACCTATTAATAAGAAATAGCTCATTGGCTTCCTGGACCCCTGCTTCCTCTCTCAGATCTCTTCCCTGGCTCTTATGTCTTTCTTTCATTAGTTCTCTCGCTGCCTCAGCCAACAGAATCACATTTACTGTGAACCGCTACAGCAAATAAATGACTCTTCAAGCAGCACACAGAAGCACCTGGTAGTGCAAATGACCCTGCCAAGGTTTGTATCCCATCCACAATGATTTAAAGCTTTTATTCATTTGATATTTGGTACATTTTCCCACATAAAGAACATTGAATCAAAACCAGTTAAAATCCACAGGATAAGAGTTCTTTTCTGTCTCGGCAACATTTTTAAAACAGGGATTCGCAAACAGACAAAACTTTCAAGCCTCTACAATTCAGATGGGCTTGCTCGTCAAAAGAGTAAAAATGCATTATCGATGCCCCCATATACAAAGATTTTTTAAAAAGTCCTCTTAGAGGTACAAGTTGGGTACACAAAAGCTATACAAGGGAAACAGAGAGAGATAAAGAAAAAAACACAGTTTCTTTGAGATTTAATACCAGAACCATAATCAATAGCTTGAAAATACTTGCGAGTAATAGGAAAGACAGCAGGTCAAACAAGTAAGTCTGAATAAAAGAATGAGAGAAAGAAGAAGAAAAAATAAATCTCTGAAGGTTTTTGCAAGGCAGCTCTTCCAAGTGCTGTGGCAGGAATCCTGTAAAAATAAAATCAGAATTAGTGTTGTTGTATGGAGGAAAGAAAGCTGTTGAAAGCATGAAAAAAGTTGAAGCATTCCAGTTAAATAGAACTAGCACATTTCTTTTAAAAAACATTTGAGACGGTTTATAAAATCGGCAGATACCTTTACCTTTTATTGTTCACAAAGCAAATCCTGTAACAAAGCTTGTTCATACTAAATACTATCCTTTATTACACAAAGCATAATAAAGTCATGAGGATGAATTGAGCAAAATACAGTAACATATTAACAAACAATTATGAAAAGCAGAATAACTATTAGTAATCAATTAGTAATCACCTGAAGGAAAATCTAATTTGATGGTTTGTTTTGAAAATCAGGTCACTTGCAATGCTTCTGAAATGGTTTGATGGTATGGTATGATGAAAAAAGTTGGAGAACTGATATCTAATACTTTGTAAGGTGAAAGGATGACAACTGTCCTACACCTCAAGTCCAAATTAGTAACTATGAGCTTCTCCTTCTACACAATGTACTATGTGGGTAGAACTAATGGCTAAGGGAGGAGGACCTTATCTGCTTAGACTGGATTGCAGTCTGCAATAGTATCAGGAGACATTGAATGTTGTTTCAGTTATTCATACATGAACTGTATCTAGGATTGCCTAATTTAACATGCTGTATATGGAGCTAATCTGGAAACATCAACCAGTGAAGAATACAGCTACTTGACTGTTAGTCAGTACTGAATAGAGTAAAGGTAAAGGTTTCCCCTTGACATTGAGTCTAGTCGTGTTTGACTCTGGGGGGTGGTGCTCATCTCCATTTCTAAGCTGAAGAGCCATTGTTGTCCATAGATGCCTCCAAAGTCATGTGGCCAGCATGACTGCATGGAGAGGCATTACCTTCCTACCAGAGTGGTACCTATTGATCTACTCATATTTGCATGTTTTCAAACTGCTAGGTTGGCAGAAGCTGAGGCTAACAGCAGAAACTCACCCCCCTCCCTGGATTTGAACCATCAATCTTTCGGTTTAACCCGCTATGCCACTGGAGGCTCCCAGCATTGAAAACAGGTGAATAAACTATGGTTCAAGATGGAAATTTGGTTGCTTGGTAAGAAAACTGCGGTGGGATTGAGACAAAAACATATGCTGGATGGGGCTGGACTCCTCTCATATATCAATTTCATAGTTTGAGGATGCACTTGGAACCAGAATTGGTCTTCAGAGAACAGATTTGTTTTTGTTCTATTTTGGTTAGTTACTTTCATAGACAGGACAGAAGTGGTCACAGTGGTTCACACTTTTAGTGGCTTACAATTAAAATACTGGAGTGAACTGTATGCAGAGCTGTTCTTAAAGAGTTTACAAACTTCAAGAAATGCAATTATGTGGTGGCCAGATGTATGTACAGAAAGATCACACATTATTGACATCTTACTAACTGCACTGTTCTCTGAGCTATAAACAGTAGTTCAACTCTAAGAGCTATTTAGTGGGTGAATGAGAAATACGACCTTTACAGAGGTGGCCTCCAAGTTTTGTATGCGTACTCTCTACCTATGACTTCATTTCTCATTGTATTGAAAGAGGACTAATAAAAGTCTCATATTTTCAACTTCCCCCAAGTCTGAATTGCTGCAAAGTTAAAATTGTATTTAGCCTAAGCTGTTTGTATACAATTAAGAAAATAGTCATAACTATTTACTTTACACATTGGATAATATTGCTGTGTGCTTGCCTTTAAGTCTGATAATATATCTCATCTATCAAGACATTTATTATGTGTGGGACCCTAAAAAATCAATCCTAAAAGGAGGCATACAATAATCATACAAATAATAATTTAGATGCAGTTGTGTTGGGACACACAGGGATTTTGCTAGAGAGCTGTCCTTCCTGGAGGTAGGAAAAAACCCACTGATTGATTAATATGGGATACAGGGACACTAGACCGGTATGAAGCAATTTATCTCAGGTTTGTCTTTGAGCAAGAAAGGCTGGCAACAAGATTTGACAGACATTTCAAGAGACAGTAGCTGTGTGTGTTGCAGCAAAAAGGACAGTTATGTGGCACCTTAAAGACTAAAAAGATTTATTTGGCAGCAAAGTCATCTGAAGAGGAATGGAGTCTACAAAAACCTCTGCCAAATGGAACTTTTTTGTCCTTTACGTACTACTCACAATATTTTGCAGGATTTAAATGATGTATTGAAAGTATTCTCACACTCTTTTGGAAGCGGGGGGGGGGGGGGGGGGGGGGGGGGGGGGGACGGACCATGGGCCCTTTCATATGCAGTAGGATTGCAATTCCCAGCATTTTTGAGCATTATATATGCTGGTTAAGACTTCCACCAGTTGCAGTCCATCATCATCTTGAGGACCCCATGCTTCCCACCCTGCAACTATTTGAACCACAGGAATAATTTGATCCCATTATTGTGGGAGAATGGTGTGTGAAATGTTTGAGGTTTATTGAAATTAATATACCTTGGTCTATTTTTTGAGATCAGTTAAATCAGTGGTTCCCAACCTCTTTTGACCAGGGACTACTTGAGTAGGAACCACTTTGACCAGGGACCACTCTCTGACATTAGTACTAAAAAGGGTTACAAATCAGTTTTTGGTCAACTTTAGATTAGTTATTTGGGGTGCTGATTCAGAAAATCACACTGGATAGACCACATCAGTTCTAGTTTCTGATACAGAACAAATGCCATCCTGTAGTCGCCATCTGCTCACCCACAGAAAACCATATTCAATAATCTAGAGCTGATGTGGTCTCTCCAATGCAATTTTCTGAATCAACACTCCAAATAACCCCAGGAACAGGCCTAAAAATGAAGACATCAAGGTGTCCCTGCTTCCAGGCACCACCTGGAATGACCCCACTTAGGGGGAGGAAGGAGGAGAAGCAGCAGTCAGGAGGCCTGTTGTCATGTCTTTCATGGGTAATCAGCTTGTCACCTCCCAACACTATAAAAGGGTTTCGCGAAACCAGTCGCTCTTGATACAATGGTGTAGTAATGGTGAAGCCACTGGCCATATTTTAGTTCTTAGGGACCACTGGTGGTCTATGGACCATAGGTTGAGAACCACTGAGTTAAACAAAGCTCTGAAAGCTACCTTTAAAAATAATTTTAGCTATAATTGCATGCCCATGAAGCAACTGGTTGCCATTACTTGCAATTTATAAAATAAATGTTACTTGCTGGTTTCTTAAAATAAAAGTTACTTTTACATATATTTTTTAAAAATTACACTAATGCTAGAAGCAGCTGGCTTGCTGTACAGAGCATAGTCTTTCTTGCACTGCCTCAATACCCACAACAGACCATGAGGCAGAAGGATGTGGCCCAGCACAAATCATCACTGGATCTATGCAATATTTTTCTCCGCCCATAACTACAAAAAGTAACTCTACAAATTACAGTCATATAGGAAATAATACAAACACCTTTACATAGTTACAACTCTAAAGTAATAGAGTTATGTTTTCATTATTAGGTGGAGGAATTAATTCTAAGGGACTTCCTACATATAACTGCACCAAGCTCTGGTTATATAACCCCTTAGACATGAAAGGATTAAGAACATGAATAATACATTTTAAAAGGAAGTGTATATGGCAGACCATCTGTAAGTATTCAAAGGCTGAATTTCTCATAGCAATATAGTAATGATCTCAGACAGTTACCGAATGATTTTCATGCACTGACTGAGTCCCCTGGGTTTTCAGACAGTCTCGTTGTATTCAGCACAGGGACATTACTCATTCCCAAGAGCCTCTCTCATTCCTATGTCTGGGTTTAAAATTGTCTAAGCATTTTAAATGCCCAAGATAGATGCCTAAATCAGTATTTCAATGCAAAAATGATGGTATATTTTTGAAGACTTACCTGTCTAATTGTTTTTGTGCAGTTGCTCACATTTTACTGGAAATAGTCATATTCCTGTAGAAATGAGAATTTCTATTAGCATATTTATTTATTCAAAATATTACAAGCTGTTCTTCAGACTTAACACTTCCAATATGAGTTCTAAGATTGAAAAATGCTCAATATAAAAATACATTTGAAAGTTTTGCATCATGAAAACACAATTGATAAAACTCTCAATAACACTGATCAACCCAATAAGAACAGAAAAATGAAACAATGTTAAGCACAGCAGCACTAAGAAGCTCCTCATTCATGATAATAGCTTATTGTCATTTTGGGCAGGTAAAGAGGAAAAAGTATGCCCAATTGTTGCCTCATGCACTAGGCAGGAAGAGACAGGTAGTGTGAAGGCCAATAGCTCTCACAAATATGTGACACAGCTTTATATGAGACCAGACTACAGCTATGCTGAAGTAGATGCATCCCTGGGCATCATGTCTTCAACAGAAAATAATGATACTAGAAGCAAAATAATCCATGAGGAATGGGGATAGATTCAAACACCCCATTTCCCCCAGAAAAAAGATTAATTTAAATCATTTTGGGATTTTAAAAATTCAAAACAAACAATATGTACATATGAAATTAAACAATTGGGTCAAGTAATCCTTGCATTAAATGAGCAAAAACATTTTTCATCCTTCAGGAGACCAAAGGCTACCTCCTAGTAGCTTACAGAGATAACTTTTTCACCAGTTCCTCACTTTTCTTATGATTTCTATTTTTGGAGTTGCTTCCCCTCTTCCTCTCTTTTTGCTGCTTGATTGTGCTTGGTGAGGTATTTTAGAGGCAGCTGCTGCTGACTTTGCCTGTTGCAGGGAGGCCCACATGGCTTTAGCAGAAGAGACCAGAGGAGAATCCTATTTTTCCTCAGCAAAAGTTTTGCTTACTGTGTTGTTTGCTGCAAACACATTTTTCCCAATATTAGTGCAGCTAAAAATATCCAGACAGGAAGATGATGGGGAGAAAAATTGGAGCTGGATAGGCAAAACATTTGTAAAAAGCAGCTTTGCTGTTAGAGATTTTGTTAACTAAGATATGCTTTTAATATTGCTCAATTGTAGTGCTCATAAAACAACAATACCAAGAGTAACTCACTCCATCGGCCATTTATTGTTCATTCTGCAGCAATAGGCCACACTGGGGAATTCTTGTCCTTCAAATTTAGTCTGGCAAAATATTTCAGTTTAAACAGCAGATTTATATTGCCAGTTGATCTATTAACATCAACTATGACTGGATGAATATAATACTGCTAGTAAGCAAAACAAATAGATATGTGAGTGCATGCATATTAAAAAACACTACAGTAACAAAATAAATTTAAATCTCATTATTCAAAAGAAGATGTAAAAAGTTATATGTAAATGAAGACTTGTCACCCACTTTTTGCTTTTATTAAAGTTGCTGGCATTAGCTGAACTCCAGGCTGGTCTGTGGCTAGATCATAAGTATGGCATTTCAGCCTTATTAGAGCTTTCCTTTGAAGTCCTTTCACTAGCAAGGGTGTTATCTATCTTAGCTGTCCAGTTGTTTCTGCTTTGCTCGTGACTTCCTTTTGCCTCTCTGTGTTTTCTTGAGAAATCAAAAATGTCATATATAGCACTATCACCTATACTGGCGTGTCTACTATTGCTTTGCATGACAGAGTTTTCAGGTAAAGATCTCCAAGCTTGCTCCTCAATATTCGATAAACTGGAATTGAACTGACCTGGGGCTTTCCTGCATATCAGCAACTTCTGTGCTGTATGGAGTCAGATCCCATCTCTTGGTATCCCTCTAGTCAACCCTATGACCTGAGCAGGTAGGACACCAGGAGGGACTCCAAAGAGGAGTGTTATAATGTTACTTTTGTTTGCTTCTCTATGATGATAATGTGTATTTCATCTGGAACAGTTAATCTTTATTTTATGCAAAGTACCTCACCAAAAAAAAAATGGAAGAAGAAAAGGAAAACAAGCCACTCTCTCACATACTCCTTCAGAAATTTAGGACGGTCTTAAATGTTTTACAGGTTTGTTATTTGGTGCCAATGCTAGGCTTTCTGTCACTTCCATTGCCATGGTCCAGTGGCATAAATCCAACATAGGGACCCAAAAACAACTCTTAGTCCCACATAGAGTCACTGAATCAATGGGTATCCATTCACTCAATAGGTCTACTTTCATGGGAAGCAACAATTAGATTTGACTCAGGGAGATTAAGGGTAAGTTTATTTTTGGTACAGAATTTAAATGGAAATCCTACTCTTGCACAAAATCCTTGTGGTGAAAGGTATAATTTCTCCCCCAAACACTCCAATCCTGAAGAGTTTAATCATTTCTGTATCTCCCATGGTAGTCAATGGGAAGCACAAACTTCCTGATTTTGGAGTTATATTGGATCTGAAGTGTGTATCCATTCTTCTTGCGACATCAGTTCATAACTGACTTCGGCTCCAAACCTTCAGTTTTGGAAAATGGCATGTCAGTTTTAGCACACACATTTATGTCCATATAAGCCACACCGAAGCAGTGGGAATTTTTTCCAAGTTAACACATGTGGAATAAGACTACAAATGGGACTCTCATGAAAAGGAAATAATTCGGGATGTGATTAAAAAGTAGAAGTCATTGTGCAAACCCAATATTTGTACTACTCACGGCTATGCAAATGCTGGAGCTCCAAGCAAGGCCAACCAATACAAACACATTTCTAGTAACTCAATAAATGCTGTTGCACTGGTACAAAAGGCTCAAGCCTGTGTAAAGACTTTGAGGTTTTGGACTCTAGACTGGAAATATGCAATTTCTATAACTACAATTACTTGGCATCTAGAAATGAATGTCCTTTAAGCAACATTTAAAGCCTGCCTAAAGCATCCATCTTCTAAATATTTCATATTCACTTTAGGACATACTGTGTATTGTTTGCCATACTTACAGAGCAGCTATTATTTCTGCCTTCACAGATAAACACATTTTTTCCAAGATTCCTTTCTGTTGCACTATACAGAAAGACTGATAAAAGCAGCATATTCAAGGCAATCTAAACCCTGCAGAAGCAGGCAGCTGTCATTTTGTGTTTAGATAAAGTCCCGATTTCCTCCTCCTCAGAAGTGATTGCCGAATTTTTATTCATCACCTTGGCTTCATGCCGACCCCAGACAATGAATATTACAAGCAGACTATTCAGGTAGTGGGCTATTTTAAAACAACAGCAACTCATTGTTTTTATTCTTTGGGACTTTGAAAGATGAGGTTTGTTACTCACCCAGCTGTCAGCAGTAAAACCCATATTCCCAAGACATCCAGAGTGGTAAATGCCACCTGGCTGACTATTGCTTTGTAGCCTGTCCAGAAATGCATTATTCACCCTAAGAAATAGAAGTCGGGGAATGAATGTTAACAGAGTTTCACCAGAAGGCACAGATTAAGGAAGTGAATGCAACACACAAGCATGAACTGAATTTTATGGCAAGAAAAATAGATTGCATTGGTAATGTAAGCATGATGGCCAGTTTCAAGTTTGAACTATAAATCTTCTATTGAAATATTCCAGCTTTCCAACTTTGTCGCACCAGTTTTGACTATGATGGCAACGTTTTCCAAAACGGCCCTATATTTGAGGACATTAACTACCCTATACTCACTACAAAATATTAATAAATATTCCATCTGACCAGGTTGGCAAAGTACTAAAAGTCAGCAACTGTACAAAGTACTAGGAAAATTGTCATTTAAAGGTGCTAGAATTGGCTGTCATAGTTAAAATGACAAGGTTGGTGCATAAAGGAAAAGAGCAAAAACTTTAAGCAGATGTCCCTCTCTTAAAATGAAATTGGTTTATTATGCTTTAGAACAGCATTTCTAAGCTAACACTGAACAGTGGGTTTTATATATTCATATATATATATATATATATATATATATATATATATATATATAATATTATATAATAAAATATATATAATAAAATATAATATATAAAATATATAATACTAGCGGTCCCCTGCCACACGTTGCTGTGGCCCAGTCTGGTGATCTGGAAAATAAAGTAATGAGAAAGTGTTGGTTTCTAATATATGTAATTTCTTTATGCTTGTGGGTAAACAGTATTTCTTGCTGTTTCTTTGGCAGTGTTGATGTGGAGATTGTCTGGTTTGCCTACTCTGGAACATGCAACATATAATTGTTCTTTAGGGTTTCAAATCTATGATACTGCATCTGTCATATACATATATATGTGTGTATGCGTGTGAATGGCTGGATGGACCTTTGTCAGGAGGGCTTTGATTATGTTTTCTTGCCCTGGTGAAGGGAGTTGGTCTGGATGGCCTTAAGGCAGCATTTCTCAACTTGGGAAGTCAAGACCCGGGGGGGGGGGGTCACCAGGGGGGTGTCAGAAGGGTCACCAAAGACCACCAGAAAACACAGTATTTTCTGTTGGTTATGTGGTTCTGTGTGGGAAGTTTGGCCCAATTCTGTCATTGGTGGGGTTCAGAATGCTCTTTGATTGTAGGTGAACTATAAATCCCAGCAACTACAACTACAAAATCTCAAGGTGTATTTTCCCCAAACTCCACTGTTGTTATTTGGGCATATTGAGTATTTGTGCCAAGTTTGGTCTAGATTCATCATTGTTTGAGTCCACAGTGCTCCCTTAGCATGTATAGTTGAACTACTATCTCCATAATAAACCCTAAGTAGTCAATGCCCACTCAAACCTTCTAGTTTTTCTGTTGGTCAGCGGGATGTTCTGTTGTGCCAAATTTGGTCATTCCATGGTTGGTGGATGTTTCAGAAAGGATCTCTATGCATCATAGGTAACCTAACTCAGAGTGCTGAGCTTGATCCCATCCCCCTAGTTCTGTCATTTCTAAATGGTTAACCCTTTATGTACATCCATAACTGTCTTTTACCTCCTGAACATATAATAATATAATAACATATAATAATATTCAACTATCTAAGCATATATATATATATATATATATATATATATACACACACACACACACACACACACACACACACACACATACACACACACACACACATACACACACACACACATATATATATAAAATATATTATATATATTTTATATTCAGAATAGTATCTAAAATGGTACTCGATTGATGTGACATAGACATACCTAAATCATTTTGTATTTTCGCTTATAAATAACACTATGTAATCAAATTTGGAAAAAAAAATCTGTTCCTGGTTTGAAAGTGTAATTTCCTTTTTAATTGTGCAGCTCTTACTTTGAAAGTAGTTGTTATAATTCCAAAACTTCATTTTTGTGGCTGCCACAAACTATGTTGAATTGGTTGGGACTCGGTGAGATATTCACTGAAAAGGTAAGCAAAATGTGCTGCAGGGTGTCCTGCTAAAACAAAGTCTTTGCAGTTCAAAAAACCTTTACATGTTTTTTATGATAGAACAAATTAGGAAATGACATTTATAACCCAGGAACAAAAAGTGTGTTACATGCTGTAATACAGGCATTACATAATAATTATTCAAGTAACGGTGCACAATTTATTTCAGAAGGCTGCTTGAGTCACTCATGGTTAATGGAAACCAGTTCCTCATTATATATTTGAAGCAGACAATGTAGTTTGAGAAAGGAGACACCTAGTATATCAGTCTGGAAGAAAGCGCTGAACATTTGGCTACTACCAATACAAATCAACCAGATTTTGCCCGGACAGATTTAGAACCACTGTCATTTTAATGAGATGAGGAGTAAGAATTTGAGTTTAATAGGAAGCCGGCTCTATGCCACCTCACTAACATTGTATCCCACTTCAGAATTCTCAAAATACCACTGATCAACACTATAAATTTTAGCCATATGCAATAACTGTCATAGGAAGCATACAGGGAACAACACTACAATTTATCACTGAGTATAAACTTAGAAAAACTTCACACTACGGCCAAGAATTTCCATGGTTCTACAGACATGAAGAATCTGAACATGTTTTAATAATTTATTCCATTAATTCCATTACCTTTGCTGCTCATTCTGATGCTTTCTTAGTCTCATTTTCTCCTCTTGCTTTTGTTTAAGTTCTAATAGTTCCGCCTGGAAACAATAAAATCCCTGCAAATTAATGCTTACCATAATGTTCTTATACTTTTTCTAGAAAAGGAACATGGAAAATTATTCCATTTTTCTTTATATATTATATATGACTACATTGTTCCATGATTACATGATTGCAGCAGCACGGATTATCTATGCCCAGAGATGGAAAGAACCAGATATGCTGATGCAAAAAGATAGGCTGATGAAGATATGTGAATTAGCAGAAATGGTCAAATGGACAATGTTGATTAAGGAGAAATCCTTGACCAAATTCAAGAAAGACGGGGGCATATTTATTGCTTTTATACAGCAAAGATGGAGACAATCTTCAATTACAGTAGAGTCTCGCTTATCCAACCTTCACTCATCCAACGTTCTATATGTATTATTTATATCTAATGGCATCGAATTGTGCTGGATGTAAGCTATCCTGAGTCCCTCCCCCCCGGGGGGGGGGGTTTGAGAAGGGCGGGCTACAAATGTTTGGGATAAATAAATAAATAAATAAATATTATCCAACGCAGTCTGGCTCCCACCTGGAGCCACAACTGTTTCAATACGTTGTGATGTTTTGGTGCTAAATTCGTAAATGCAGTAATTGCTACATAATGTTACCATGTATTGAACCGCTTTTTTGTCGATTTGTTATAAAACATGATGTTTTGGTGCTTAATTTGTAAAATCATAATGTCATTTGACGGTTAATAGGTTTTTTTTCCAACATTTTCGCTGATCCAACATTCTGCTGGCCCGTTTATGTTGAATAAGCGAGACTCTACTGTAGTAGTTTTCTGATGCAGAAGAGTGTTATTTAAAGTAGAAAGGTAGAAATAAAGTGATACTTAAAGGGACTAACAAATAAGAAGTTAAAATTAACAGATAACGAGTGGGAGGCTTATAGATCAGCTTAGTAGCTCTTTGTTTAGAATGCGTAGGTTGTATGTTGACACAAAGGAGCATTAGCTACTTCTGAATATAATAAAAATGTTTTTTATGGTAGTTTTAAATTTATTTTGTGTTGTTGCATTTTATAAGTATGTTTTGTCTTTGTATGTTTGAAAAAAGGATTTACAAAATAAGTTTAGCATACAGTAATTAAGTGTAAAGCAATCATTAAAACACTTGATTTCTACTATCTTGTAACTATGAAAAATATTTTGAACATAATGCTCACTATAATTAAAACACAGTGATTCTCCATTTTCTTTTTGGGAAAAACAGTATCAAGAAACTGTTACTGTGTTATTGTCCTTTCCTTCTACATAGTACAATATGGTGGGCACATGGATTAGGAATTAATATCAATGAAAACAAAGACAGAAGGAAAGAGAGAAAGGCCAGTGGGCTTCATTCGGTATGAAACTTCCATCTATGTAAGATCAGACTGGCTTCTGTGGATAATAATCACATTCGGGTTTCTAGAGTGAAGATTTGTTTTTGGCTAATGCAAAGTAAAATTTGGGAACACAACTTTTTTGAATATACCCCATAATTATCAATATCAATGCTGACTGGGGATTGTGGGATTTTTAATCTCAAAAGGAATGTTTCTAAACTTAGGTGGCAAACAGAAAGACAAAAAGAGTAGTATATCTGAAAGGCCAACATTGTGCATTAGGTATTTATTTCACATCCTTTCCTCTAAAATAGTGGTTCTCAACCTGTAGGTTTCCAGATATTTTGGCCTTCAACTCCCCAAAATCCTAACAGCTGGTAAACCGGCTGGGATTTCTGGGAGTTGTAGGTCAAAACACCTGGGGACCCACAGGTTGAGACTTACTTATTTACTTACTTGAGAACCGCTGCTCTAAAACCTCATGTAGATTTAAGCTATTCAGGAGTTCCTTCAGTTATCATTGTCTGTCACTAAACAGTTTCATACTGAGATGTTCCAGGAACCTCACAACCCAGTTTCCCCACACTTGGTTACTCTGCTGTACTCAAGGTATACAATACTTACCAGTGTATTGACGAAGGCTTTCATTGCTGGAATCACTGGGTTTTTGTAGGTTTCTTTTGGGCTATACGGCCATGTTCTAGAGGCATTCTCTCCTGATGTTTTGCCTGCATCTATAGCAAGCATCCTCAGAGACCTCACTACCTCTGAGGATGCTTGCCATAGATGCAGCCAAAATGTCAGGAGAGAATGCTTCTAGAACATGGCCATATAGCCCGAAAAACCTACAACAACTCAATACTTACCAGTACTCACAAATCCATTTATGTTTTGTTATCTTTAACCTATATCACCAATATTAGATGGGCTTCATATACTAAAATACTAGAATAACTGGTAATATGTTTTGCAACAATGTTACTATGAGGGTCCTACCCATATAGCTACAGCCAACCCAATCCATAGCTCGTATCAGCAAGAGATCACTGACATGCGTAGCTCTGTGTCCGAGTTGTCAGTAAACATGAACTCAGGCTATCTCTGTATCCAATTCACTTTTTTTATTCCTACCTTTTTTCATCCATAAGCATTCACAAGGTTATCTGTTTGGATTTTCTAGTGCCTCTGTGTAGTCTTGTATTGGCTGCCTTGACAGTTCATTCTGAAACTAAATTACTCCACGTGTCATAGGTTAGATGGCTGTGTTACAAAATCTTTGGCAATTGTATTTTTATGAGGATAACCAAAGAATAGTGAAGTCAAGCTAGATTATTTCAGATCTAAGCTAATAATGATGGGTGTAAATTAACTCAAACTGGGAACCATTTTAAAATGTTATTAGAAAAAGAAAAAAAGGCACACAACTATGGATCGAGGGCTGCAAATGAGTTTGAAGCAGGAGTAATTTTACATTAGAAATATGTAAAAACAACATTCAACTAAAGGGTTTTAGCCTAGTGTTGCTATCCTAGAAGATATTTGTTATACATGATCAAAGTAGTAATATCTCCTACCCAGGAAATGGAAAACCAACAGAGAAGATTGCAATACAACTGTGGGAGAAAATAACAAATGATAATTGGAACAACATTTGTATTACTGGAAACATAGTAGTTATGGAAGCAAAGATGTACAATCTTGAAATGCAGGGAGGGACTATGGAGTAGTCCAGCCTTGAAGCTTTGGCTTATTCAGAATAGATATTAAAACTATGTAGTTAAGGAGTCATAACAAAAGTAGTTCCCAGTTTAAACATGGACAAGCTGTGCACTAAGTTACAGAAATGGCCTGCCAATGTTGGCTGCAATTTGTCACCTTTCTTCGCTGTTCTTCCTTCATCTCCTGCAGCTTTCTGTTTTCCTCTTGCCTTTGGAGTTCTCTGTGTGTGTGGTGTCTGGCCTATTGCAAATTGGAGCAAAATGGTTTAACCAGTTAACCAATACTATTACAGAAGACATCTAGCCAAAATAGCATACTATTACTCCTGAGAACTGCAAGCCTCCCTAAAACAGCCATAAACATTAGGGAAAATGTGAACCAATATATGCATGAATGCATGTGGAGATTCATGCAGCAGCTAGCTGTCCTGATCAAGAGGAAAGCAATGCTGTAGAGAAATACACTCAAGACTTAGAATCAGTGTTCAGAGAGACCACAACAACCATCTAGTCTTTTGTTATAGAACCTTCTTTAAGGATGGGAGAGTCAGGGCACTAACTTTTACTCTAGGAAAGGTCTGAGAAAGCGACTGGTGGAAAGAAAAGAGGTGGGAAAACACCTCTACAAGACAGAGGGATTAGAATAGGTGAACTTTTATCTCTAGAGTCGTAGGAGCTTATCACACGAGGCAAGCAATTGAATTACAGCCAAACAACAGCATCTTTGCCATGGATCACATGATGTCACTTATTTACCATTGCCTCTCAGTAGGATAGCATTAGAAGGTGTTTCTTTTATGGAAAGGAAGTCATTAACAGATTATTTGTATCTGTAAAACTGTGTTTCTCAACCTGGGGGTCGGGGCCCCTGGGGGGGTTGTGAAGGGGTGTCAGAGGGGTTGCCAAAGAGGATCAGAAAACAGTACTTTCTGTTGGTCATGGGGGTTCTGTGTGGGAAGTTTGGCCCTATTCTATTGTTGGTGGGGTTCAAAATGTGATATGACTGTAGATGAACTATAAATCCCAGCAGCTACAACTCCCCAATGTCAAGGTCTATTTTCCCCAAACTCTGCCAGTGTTCACATTTGGGCATATTGAGTATTTCTGCCAAATTTGGTCCAGATCCATTATTGTTTGAATCCACAGTGCTCTCTGGATGTAGGTGAACTACAACTCCCAAACTCAGGGTCAATGCCCACCAAACCCTTCCAGTATTTTCTGTTGGTCATGGGAGTTCTGTGTGCCAAGTTTGGTTCAACTCCATTGTTGGTGTTCAAAATGCTCTATGATTTTAGGTGAACTATAAATCCCAGCAACTACAACTCCCAAATGAAAAAATCAACCCCCCACCCTGCCAGTATTCAAATTTAGGCGTATTGGGTATTTGTGCCAAATTTGGTCCAGTGAATGAAAATACATCCTGCATATTGGAAATTACATTATGATTCATAACAGTAGCAAAATTACAGTTATGAAGTAGCAACAAAAATAATGTTATGGTTGGGGGTCACCACAACATGAGGAACTATATTAAGGGGTCGCGGCATTAGGAAGGTTGAGAAACACTGTGTAAAAGAAACCTTTTGCATGCTTTCCATCAGGAAAGAAGCAAAAAAAGGAACGACATCATACGATAACTCCAAGGCAAAGATACAGTTGTCCAATTGTAATTATGATTTTCCTGCATGGTGGGATAAACTCCATGGTGTAATGCTGAAATCACTACATAACAAGTAGATGTGCCAGATTAAAAATGCATTTAATTTGGAAAATGCACTTAATTTGAAAAATGCACTCACAACAGCATTCCAGACAATGGGGGTAGAATATATACAGTAAGAAAAAGCCATATATGCTTAGCAAAGTGTGTACCAAACTATATCCATACGGAAGGAAAGACAACATTTTTGCAATCTAATAAATAGCCAACACAGGACAAATATGCTGGTGGGTTCTGAGAAACACACTGAAAATGGAACAAACAGATTTTCACATTCCTATCAAAGCACCCAATGTGGTTCTCCATCAATGGTCTTCCGGAGTCCGAGCTTCAGTCTCAAGACTTCCTTCCCTGTAGCTGAAAATCAATTTCTTCCAGAACAGTGATTCTCAACCTGTGGGTCCCTAGATGTTTTGGCCTTCAACTCCCAGAAATCTTAACAGCTGGTAAACTGGCTGGGATATCTGGGAGTCGTAGGCCAAAACACACCCACAGGTTGAGAACCACTGTTCTAGGAGGAGGGAAACAGCTTTTGCCTGCCCCTATTTCTTTCCAATAGCAATAAGAGTATAGGATTTGCATAAAGCAAGAAGGAGCAGGCACTGCATACTAGTTGTGTGTCACAAATCACAATTCGTTTTTTGTGACCACATTTTCAAAGATACAGTCAGAGAAGCCAAGGAATACTCTGGAAAGAGCTGAACAGACTTGACATTCAAGGATGGTTTTATTTAATAGTTCAGTATCCCACAGCTGCTGACAACTCCTTTTTTCTCAGGAGGTGTTCAGAAATCTATCAGCATTCATAGTTCCTGAAGGAGAATGGAAGGGTATCTTATACAGCCCCCAAATGGAATATGTCACTTTGAAGTATGAACATTTTGAATTCTGCAGCTTAGATTTGGAAGAGTTTCAAGATGCACAAGATATATGCATCAGTCCCTGAAGTGATTTACTGCCTACCCATTGGTATGATGCCTTTTAAACACTAATATTTAGTAGCGTTGATGATTTCATTCTGAAATATAGGGGCTTCGACTGACTATCAGAATATACTTCATAAAAGTATACATATCTAGGAACATCAACTAAACTAAAATCTGAAAATGTCTGGCCCAGTTACTGTTCATTCCAGGGCTTAATCCACACTTGCAAAATAATTCTTCCTTATCTCAGTCCTGATCTTTTTTGAACACATGATGGCTCACTGTTTTTGAAGTGAAAGCACTTATTTAAATCATCCTAGGGCTTTGATGTGATTTTTAAAAACTCATAAAGGTAAAGGTTTTCCCTGACATTAAGTCTGGTTGAGTCCGACTCTAGGTGGTGGTGCTCATCTCCATTTCTAAGATGAAGAGCCGGTGTTGTCCATAGACGCCTCCTAGGTCATGTGGCCAGCATGACTGCATGGAGCACTGTTGCCTTCCTACCAGAGCGGTACCTATTGAGCTACTTACATTTGCATGTTTTCGAACTGCTAGATTGGCAGAGGCTGGGGCTAACAGCGGGAGCTCAACCTGCTCCCTAGATTCGAACCGCCGACCTTCTGGTCAGCAAGTTCAGCAGCTCAGTGGTTTAACCCACTGTGCTATCGGGGCCTCCATATTTTCTACTAAAAACTGGCTTTTTAAAAACACAGGTACCTGCTGTCCCAAATCATAAGTGGGTTGACTAAAAGGTTAACATGGTCCAGGAAGCATCGTATTGTCCTTTTGCTTTTACACTCATATAACTGGTAAGTGCATATTACAATAATCAAAGGCTAGCAGGTCTCCTGAAATGAAGGTATCCCTTTTAGGACTGACATGCAGTGAATGTATAGGTGGCAGATGGGCAAAGTTCATGGAGGGATGTGTCCCAAAAGTGTTTATCTCGGCATTCATGTCCGGCAAGCGTCTAAAACTTTTCCACTCATGACCCCTTCCCACCCCAGGATTATTTATAGACCCTGGATATATAGGTATATTGAATAGATATAAAATCAAACATTTACTAGTAATAAATCAGCATTTGCAAGGCTTGCTAAACAGCCTCGTTTTTTTCTTTTATGAAACACTGCTGAAGCATTTTCTGCAGTCCACTATAAACACTACATGTTGTTGCTAATAGATTCATGTAAATATCTAACATAGTCACTAGGTAGTGTTGAGAAATATTCCAATATTGCCAATATTTTTGTGATCCCAATATTGAGCTAAGGGAATCGGGACTCTCAGTTTAAGAAGCTCCGGTCTAGATTAAATAAGGTATTTTATATACCTCCAAGTTTATGATCGTTGGGGGAGGCCCTGCTCTCGATCCCACCACGCTCGCAAGTGCAAGGATGGACAGGGCCTTCTTGGTGGTGGCCACCCGTCTGTGGACTGCACTCCCCAGTAAAAGCAGGGTGACTCCATTTCTCCTCTCCTTCAGGAAAAAACTCAAGTCTTGGTTCTGGGACCAAGCATTTGGGCACCTGGCTGACGATCAACTGTAATGTCTTGTGAGAATTGTCAATGAAGAGACCTTAGACTGGAACTCTGGACTATGATTAGGATTTGTGGACTCCGACTTGGTCATGTTAATATTTTAAAGGCCATTATTTTAATGTATTTTAATGTATTTTTACTGTTGTTGACATTTTAGATGTTAATTGGTGTGCTTTAACTGTTTTTGGCGGCATCTAATGATTGCCAATGTTAAGCCGCCCTGAGTCACCCTTCGGGAGTTAAGAAAGACAGGTTATAAAGGTTTTAAATAAATAAATAAAATTTCATTCTTCCAACAGACAGACATACTTATACAGTGGAGAGGTTGTAGGACTATGTATTGTCGAAGGCTTTCATGGCTGGAATCACTCAGTTCTTGTGGGTTTTTTTGGGCTATATGGCCATGTTCTAGAGGCATTTCTCCTGACGTTTCGCCTGCATCTATGGCAAGCATCCTCAGAGGTGAGGTCTGCTGGAGCTAGGAAAAGTCAGCCCATTGTATGCTAATCAAGGTGGTCAGTTGAAAGATTCACACCTAGCCCAACTGACAAAAGCCCTTTGTCTCACCCTGGTCATTCCACAGATATATAAACCCCTTTTTTCCCAGTTCCAGCAGACCTCACCTCTGAGGATGCTTGCCATAGATGCAGGCGAAACGTCAGGAGAAATGCCTCTAGAACATGGCCATATAGCCCGAAAAAACCCACATGAACTGAGGGTTGTAGGACTACTGACAGAAACACACATTCAATGGAAATGCATGTGAGCCACCAGAATGACAGGAGAATGAGAAAGCCTACTGATTTATATGAATATGCATACATCTGCATGCATATATGGCTGTGATTGTTTTACCTAAAATATTCTGATGCAGTATACATCTAAACATACCCTTTAAATGCATGAATGTGACATTTAACAAGGTCAAATGAGGCAGGTAGTGTGCACTAGAGTTCTGCAGGCCTACTCACTACCTAAATAAGAGCATATATTCTATATATAAAATCTGTTAGTGGTGAATTGCCTTTTAAAGAAATTATACATGCTCTTCACACTAATGGTTCCATACTCATGTCTGTCTGTCTGTCTGCTGCTACTCAAGTGGTCTTCACATTTTGAGCCTCTGCCTGTTTTAGATGTATATACCCCAGTCAGCCTGCTCAAGGATATTCTGGGCACTGAAGTTGAAACTAACATGAAGGCTATGGCTGGGGAATGTTGTCTAGTCCATAGCAAAACATACAAAAGACACCTGTCAACACACACACAACAGGCAAACTTACCCAAGAAGTAGACTCCAGACTACGATAGTCTGTTTGATAGGATCTTCGATTAGATGGACTTAAATCCATTCTATTTAGAAACTGGGTGTTTTTTCTGTAGAAACAATATGATCAAAATTAGATATTCCAGGGGGGAAGTTAAGTTTTGATATTTCTCCATATTCTATTCTAGACACATGACATGGCTAAATACAAGCAAATATAACAAAAAATTAGAAATACAGGGAGGAGGCTTGCCACAGAAAGAATGCTACTGATAGCAGTTGCCGTTCCCTAGATTGGTTCCTTGAAGATATGTTAGTGTATTGGGCCAATTATTCCCAACCTGCCAAGCTTGTTACCACTGTGAACATGGTAGTATCAGCTACTTTGGGAATTAGTATTGTTCTGAAGGCAGTTTCACCCCATCAAGCCCTTCCTATCTATTGTTCTAAGATGAGACAGACACTGATCCCATTACTCTTGTCACTGTCCTTTCAAATGAAATTGAAAATAGAAGCGTCTGTAAGAGATCCTGAGTTCCATAATGAAAAGGTAGTCTGCCATCATAGCAGCCCGCCCATCCCTTCCACAAAATGACATTATTTAGAAATACCACCTGCCCTAAGACAGAGTGTTTCCTTCCTCCACACCCTAATTTTAGCCAGGCTATCCTGCTTGGTAAACAATGCAAGTATCAGGTAATCTAAACTTGTTTTCTGTGATAGCAATGGCTGGAATGAGATCAATAGGAAATTTCACAGCGTCATCTTATTTCAGTTCTCATTAACTTTTCCAATTAGCCATTTTTATTGCCAATACCTTGATGTTATTTCACGTCTCTTTCTTGGCTGCTGGCATAGTTTCTCTGCTTGCCCACCTTCCTTTTACACTAACCTATTAGGGTGATGCTGGAGGCAATTTCAGGCATCAAGATTTCATTTATTATTTTGAAATAGTTGACATGAATCCCACAGACCAAGGAAATTACAGCTCTGAGTACACTGTGGAGGTCTTGCCTTGCAAGCCGTCGTAGGCTCCCCATCTGTATGGCCAATCTGTTCCTATATTTTCAGCCAGCTTGAGTGGGCAGATTAATGGGCACAATTAGAAGGTGCCCTCGCAGGCATTCAAACTGCCTTCATTACTGCACTCGAGAGGGGGGTCTATAGAAGCCTAGTTTTCTGCCAGTTAGCAAAGTACTTGATTCTAGCAAAAAAAAAATATAGCAGCAAAAACAAAACTAGACACACCAATGAAAGCAGCAAGTCTAATACAGATGTAAATCCTTGCCTATCTTCATTTTCATGTATGGCAACAAGAAACCACAAAACACTTCCCATCACTTACAGGGTGATTTTCTGTTGGTAAGATTTTTTGCATTTTTGTATAGGTGAGTTATGAGAGCTACAGTTGTACTGGACTGACATTTAAAATCCGGAACACTGTATGGGCTGTTAGTACATCATTAGGCTTGCTGTATCTGTCTGCTTTGCATCATAATAAGAAAGAAAGACTAATTTTTGGGGAAACATTGTGCACAAATGCAGAATATTTGCCCATCCCTCATGTAAGGTGTTTCTTGCTATTGATGACAGACCAGGATGTGGTGCCACTTCTCCAGTTTTGATTCATGAGGCCTTTAACTATGAAGGCGGATATTTGAATAATCAAACGTGAACAACTCCTGTTTGGTTCAGATCCCCCGCCAGAAAATGTGGCCCTTGTGTTGTTTTAGCAAAATTCTGCTAAAAATGGGTTGTTAGCAGAACAATCTATTGCAAAAGACTTATTGAGATGAGTGAGTTTCCCTTGATACAAAATAAGGAACACCTTAGCCATATCTAGGCTCCCCCACACCTAAAAAAGATCCTAAACAAATCCAATGGGGTGTACATTTCTATTTGGGATAGATTTAGGTTATAGGCATGCTTCATTTAACAAAAGCAGCTCATTTTTACAAAATCTTTATATACCCATCAAGCCTTCTTTCCTCCTTGTTTTCTTTATAGTTCAGTGGTTCCCAGCCATCAGGCCTCCAGGTGTTTTGGACTTCAGCTCCCACAGTTCCTAACAGCTGGTAAGCTGGGTGGGGTTTCTGGGAGTTGAAGTCCAAACAAATGGAGGCCCAAAGGTTGGGAACCATTGGTGTAGTTGGACTTTTATTTAGCAGTAGTGGCGTGGAGAGGAGGATGAAGGAAAGATGGAGAAACATAAATTTTTGTTCTTGGATTGCAACATCACATCTGCAGTAAACAATTCAATAAAACTTGGGCTGGGAAAGAATTCTAACTAACTTCTGCTACAGTGGCTTTGTGTGCATGTCTGTCACAGGCAAGGTAAACAGCAGCTTCCTTCAGAATGCTTTACAGAGCATTTGTGATCTGAAAGTGACAGAGAAAAGGAGAAAGACAAGCCTGATTCATCAGTTATTCGGTGCATTTTTAGCCGCTACACTATAAGTATGGCCTCCAAAATGGAGATCATAAGAAAAGTGGAGACTGGAGAAAGGATCATTGTTGGATGCATTTTGGACAAAACTTTCAACACGGATGTAGGACAGTGGTTCTCAACCTGTGGGTCCCCAGGTGTTTTGGCATACAACTCCCAGAAATCCCAGTCAGTTTACCAGCTGTTAGGATTTCTGGGAATTGAAGGCCAAAACATCTGGGGACCCACAGTTTGAGAACCACTGCTCTAGAAGATTCAAAATTGTTTTTGTTTATTTAACCAAAGCTTCTCTGACTTGGTTACTCCATTTCACATGTGAGTTTCATTTGTTTTGGATGAAAAGTTTGCTGCAACATGTTGACATGTTCTTCTTATGATATGAAAATCTTATGAAAATTAAATGGACGTAATTTTATTCTAATCTAATGTTATTTATGTAGTTACTGTATTTTATGTTGTATGTGAGGCATCGAATTGTTGCCGTCTGTAAGCTGCTCTGAGTCCCCCTGCGGGGGTTTGAGAAGGATGGGGTACAAATGTTTGAAATAAATAAATAAATAACATCAACATATCCCTATTTTTTCTGTAAGTGCATCTACACTGTAGAATTAATTCAGTTTGGTCCTGCTTTAACTCTCATGGCTCACCACTATTCTGGCCGTTGTAGTTTGGGGGGACACCAGCACTTTTTGGCAGAGAAGACGAAATGCCTTGTAAAAATACAGTGGCTCTGATAGCACTGAGACTTGGCAGTTAAAGCGGTGTCAAGTCGAATTTGTTCTACACTGCAAATGCACCCTATGTCGTTTCTTTCTCTGGTACCATTTGTTCTTTTGAAGAAGTAATAGCCAGGAATACATCTGCTTTGTTAACAAAGGTAAAGCTCTTCTAGTACAGAAAAGCTTAAACTCAGATCGACGAATGACTTCAGAAAAGACATAAATTTATTCTGATGAATAAATCCGGTGACTAAAGTTATGTCTTTTCTGAAGTCTGGTGAATAAAGTTAAGGAATGACAACGCTTAGAGAGCATAGCTATTCTTTAAAAAAGAGAAACTCTTCAATTTTAAAAAGGAATAAAAGCAACCTAACAATTGTGAATTCATGATGACAATGAAAAGAGATAGGTTACTTTCACATGTAGTGTTGTTGAAAAGAAAAGAAAATACGGTCACCTTGAATGGAGATTTTGATTAGTAAAGATATAACCTTAACTTGCTAATGACCTGCTCTAAGCATCCTTCTGAAAGATTCAAAAAAGGAGGCTCAAGTACTTTTATGGAAAACTTTCATTATATATAAATCCATTCAGCCTAACCATTTATAGAAATTTTTGGTACATTCAAATGTCATATTCTATTTACAACCCTTCTATGCTTTCCCACTATTCCTTCCATATTCCTTTCTTTCACAGAAAATTTGTTATGATTTAAGAACTTGCCACCTTATGTGTGAAAATTAAACAGCAGATGTTCTAGCCTCAGAACTTCTAACAAGCTTCTCCAAAACAGACTGCAAGAACAACTATGTTTGGGCTGCTTCTGATGCAGAAAATGAATTGTGAGGCTCTGGTACTTATTGCTACCGTTCTTGTGGGGTTTTGAAATATTCAAACAAGGATTTTGTAGTTCTGGACTATTGTGTAACTATTTACTTACTGGACAATACCAGAAGAGCCCGGACCATCTGACAGCCCATTGGAAATATAGCACTGTACAGATAAAATCACCCAGATCTGCTCCAATTGGGATGCTATCACTACAGATGTGGTGGTGTAGCTTTGGTCCCTTGTTTAATCACTGATAATGGACACTTTTCAATGTGTACAGCCAGAGATGTAGGAAAGATTTTTGGAAAGGTATATCAGACTATGGATAAGAACATTTTTGATCACCTTGGTGGACGACCAGTGTGGAGAAATACACAAGAATGAGTGCCTATTGGTTTTGCTGGCTCTTTTGGCAGCTTTCAGTACTATACCCCATGGTCTTCCATTGAACTGATTTTTTTTGAGATGGGACAGAGGCAGTCATAGGATGCTGGTGGAAAACATTGTGGCTTCTGGCCTGGGGGTCCCTCGGTTTTGGTCCTTGTACTACTAGATGAATTAGTCCAAGATTTGGGGGTTTGATGCTTTCATTACAGTTACTCTTTCCTACCTAGATCCAATGAAGCTGCTTTAGTTCTGAACTGATGGCTGTCTTTAGTAATGACTGGATGAGTATGAAAACACTTAAATTTAATCTTGGAAACATATAAGGCAGATGAGTCAGATCAAGTGGATTCGGTTGTGATTTGGAATCCGCTACTTCTTCCCTTGTTTCTTCCATGGAGTCTCCTTGAAAATACAAGTACACAGCTTGGGTGTACTCCTGGACTCAATCCTGAATCTGGAAACTCAAGACTTCACTGGTGGCTAAGGGTGCACTTTTAAGGCACTTGTGCACCAGTTGCACTGACTCCTTAAATGACATTGATACAGATTTAATTATCATACATTTGGATTATAACATGCTCTACGTGGGCAGTTACTTGGTCTAAAGAGATGTAACAATGCCTCTTGAAGGTCTCTGATTGTATTTGCTTCTTTCAGACCAGGTAAATTGATACATCCTTGAATGCTACTTAACTCCCTCCCATGACAATCTGACATAAAACTAATT